CCTAGTCTAGTCTATAGTTAGTTCTTAGTCTAGTCTATAGTCTAGTCTATAGTCCTAGTCTATAGTCTAGTCTATAGTCTAGTCTATAGTCTAGTCTATAGTCTAGTCTATAGTTCTAGTCTTCTATAGTCTAGTCTATAGTCTAGTCTATAGTCCTAGTCTATAGTCTAGTCTATAGTCTAGTCTATAAGGTCTAGTCTATAGTCTAGTCTATAGTCTAGTCTATAGTCTAGTCTATAGTCTAGTCTATAGTCTAGTCTATAGTCTAGTCTATAGTCTAGTCTATAGTCTAGTCTATAGTCTAGTCTATAGTCTAGTCTATAGTCTAGTCTATAGTCTAGTCTATAGTCTAGTCTATAGTCTAGTCTATAGTCTAGTCTATAGTCTAGTCTATAGTCTAGTCTATAGTCTAGTCTATAGTCTAGTCTATAGTCTAGTCTATAGTCTAGTCTATAGTCTAGTCTATAGTCTAGTCTATAGTCTAGTCTATAGTCTAGTCTATAGTCTAGTCTATAGTCTAGTCTATAGTCTAGTCTATAGTCTAGTCTATAGTCTAGTCTATAGTCTAGTCTATAGTCTAGTCTAGTCTAGTCTATAGTCTAGTCTATAGTCTAGTCTATAGTCTAGTCTATAGTCTAGTCTATAGTCTAGTCTATAGTCTAGTCTATAGTCTAGTCTATAGTCTAGTCTATAGTCTAGTCTATAGTCTAGTCTATAGTCTAGTCTATAGTCTAGTCTATAGTCTAGTCTATAGTCTAGTCTATAGTCTAGTCTATAGTCTAGTCTATAGTCTAGTCTATAGTCTAGTCTATAGTCTAGTCTATAGTCTAGTCTATAGTCTAGTCTATAGTCTAGTCTATAGTCTAGTCTATAGTCTAGTCTATAGTCTAGTCTATAGTCTAGTCTATAGTCTAGTCTATAGTCTAGTCTATAGTCTAGTCTATAGTCTAGTCTATAGTCTAGTCTATAGTCTAGTCTATAGTCTAGTCTATAGTCTAGTCTATAGTCTAGTCTATAGTCTAGTCTATAGTCTAGTCTATAGTCTAGTCTATAGTCTAGTCTATAGTCTAGTCTATAGTCTAGTCTATAGTCTAGTCTTAGTCTAGTCTATAGTCTAGTCTATAGTCTAGTCTATAGTCTAGTCTATAGTCTAGTCTATAGTCTAGTCTATAGTCTAGTCTATAGTCTAGTCTATAGTCTAGTCTATAGTCTAGTCTAGTCTATAGTCTAGTCTATAGTCTAGTCTATAGTCTAGTCTATAGTCTAGTCTATAGTCTAGTCTATAGTCTAGTCTATAGTCTAGTATAGTCTATAGTATAGTCTATAGTCTAGTCTGTAGTCTAGTCTATAGTCTAGTCTATAGTCTAGTCTATAGTCTAGTCTATAGTCTAGTCTATAGTCTAGTCTATAGTCTAGTCTATAGTCTAGTCTATAGTCTAGTCTATAGTCTAGTCTATAGTCTAGTCTATAGTCTAGTCTATAGTCTAGTCTATAGTCTAGTCTATAGTCTAGTCTATAGTCTAGTCTATAGTCTAGTCTATAGTCTAGTCTATAGTCTAGTCTATAGTCTAGTCTATAGTCTAGTCTATAGTTTTGTCTATGGTCTAGTCTATAGTCTAGTCTATAGTCTAGTCTATAGTCTAGTCTATAGTCTAGTCTATAGTCTAGTCTATAGTCTAGTCTATAGTCTAGTCTATAGTCTAGTCTATAGTCTAGTCTATAGTCTAGTCTATAGTCTAGTCTATAGTTTAGTCTATAGTCTAGTCTATAGTCTAGTCTATAGTCTAGTCTATAGTCTAGTCTAGTCTATAGTCTAGTCTATAGTCTAGTCTATAGTCTAGTCTATAGTCTAGTCTATAGTCTAGTCTAGTCTAGTCTAGTCTAGTCTATAGTCTAGTCTATAGTCTAGTCTATAGTCTAGTCTATAGTCTAGTCTATTAGTCTATAGCCTAGTATATAGTCCCACTATAGTGACCAAAAAGTTCTTAAAGGAAATGATCTAAGCTTTTAATTCTAAGAATCACTATTTTTCATACTTTTTTCGTAATTTAAAGTGACTTAAGCTATTCTGCCTTAATACCAAGCATATAAATTTGAAAAAGATTTACAAATAGTTTTTGTTTGATAATGGTAATGATATTCAATATCAAAGTAACGAAAAACAGAAAACAAAAAACTTTTCTTCCTGCTGTTATTTGTTATATTGCCTCCTCTTCTTCTTCATCATTGGCATTCAACAAGTCGTACAGATACGTGTTGCAATTTTGAGATAAATCTAATTTATTTAACATATTTTTTTCATCATCTTCAATGCACATCAATTGTTTGCTGTATTTTTTATCACTTTTACATTTGGCATTTGTGGTTTCTTTGTGTCTTTTTTGTTAGTTTTCCTACTTGTTTACAATTTTTATTAAAAAAGTTGAAAAGTATTTGTTTACAGGTACTAGAGATTATTTATATATTGGTTGCATCTATGTATTAACATATTATTGCATTTTTAATTATATCTTTATATAAAAACTTTATTATTGCAGTTTTTCTTAGCTTTGAAAAAAAAACTTTCATGTTTATAGGTGTTTTTTATTTTGGTTTAAATCATATTGTTGAAAAAGCAGAATAAATACATAAGTAATTAAATATACTATAAACTAAAGCAAATTGAAAGAAAAAAATATTTCTATAGTATATTAAATTGCATTTCTTCCTACATGACATTGAGCACGTTATTTTTACCCAGCAAAAACTAACATTGAAAAATAATAGCTAAAAAGCTTTAAAACTTGGTTTTCGCGACTTCTTCATTAGTATTAAATAAGTACTTTTAAATAGGGAGTTAAATAGTTGTTTGGTTTTGCGCTCACATATAAAACAAACCTGTGCTTGGAACAAAGGCTTCAAATAATGGTAAAAGTCAATACCCAAAAAAACTACTAATTATATGTAAGTCATTATATGAGTTCTTAAAAGTAATGCAGATGGTATGTAGTAGTCATTGAAATGGTTATGTATGTACAAATCTTTACCCAGTTTTTGCTGGGTTTGTTACTATGGAATGTAATAATTAACTTAATACATATATTTATAAATATATATAGTAATGTACTTACATATTAACTTACAGTTATTTATTATTAAGTATTTTTACTAGTTTTATGGATTATTGTATATGTGTGTGTGGGTTGTTTAAAGTCATTGGCCAATAAAAGTGAAAGGGCTGATAAATTTGTATTAATTTATAAAAAATATTGTATTATTAATTATTACTTGCTGTCTGTTCAGTTTTTCCATATAACTATTATTTATTATTTATATTTTGTAACATGATACACAAAAATTTAATGTCATTCAATTTGGTTATTTAATAGAAATTTTTTTTTAACTATTTTTATACGAGGATAACTTCCTAAGTTTTTATAGAAAATTCACCTTAAAACATAATTTATCAAAAAAAATTTATAGAGAACATTAACATATAAGGAGCAGGGTTCAATTTCAATTTAATCCTCAAAAGCACAATGGTACACCAATGACCCATTTGTACAATTTCTTTTGTACTACAAGTCTAATGACTTTTCTATGGTCTAGTCTATTAATTAGTCTAGGGGCTAATCTATGAATGGTTAGTATACAAACTATCCTATAGACTAGTCTAGACTAATAATGTCTAGTCTATAGACTATTATCTACTTAGTTTAAAGTCCACTAGCTATACCCAGTGTGCTTTGTTACCCAAAAAACAATATACATAAATAAACAAGTAAGAATATACAGTCGGACATGTCCGACCGTATGATACCCTACACCAGTGCGTATGTTAAAAATGTACATTATTTTTTAATAATAAATCATTTAAGTAGTTTTCTTAACTCCGTAAAACTTTAACAATTTATATAAAAAATAGATTTTCCATAAGAGGAGTTATGTGGGGGCAAGGGTAAATGTGGGCCTATCCTTATACATTTTGGTAGAGGGATTTACGTTTACATTAAAGTTATTTCTGCAGAATTTTATCGTGATACTAGTGTTTATGAGTGGATTTTGACCTTTAAGTGATTTTCCGAAGGGGACTTTGGGAGATAGAGTCATATATAGACAGATCATTACGAAACTCGGGAGTATAATTTAGACGTATGTATATAAATCCACGTTATGTCGATTTTTTAGAGATACTAGAACATTTAACATAATTATGAGCTCAAAAGCCCTATTCTATGGGGGCTAGGCTAAATAATGAACCGATTTTAACCATTTTCAATAGGCCTCGTCAGCGGGCACATGGTACATGGACACACAGACGGACAGACAGACACACAGACAGACATGCAGGCAGACAGACAGACAGACAGACAGACAGACGGACAGAAGGACATAGCTTAATCGACTCGAATGTAATTCTGAGCCGATTGATATTAGTGTAGGACCAATATTTTTGGGTGTTACAAACATGAGCACAAATTATTCTATGGACTAACATGCAAACGTTCTATTCTATTGACTTAAGTAATGTAGACCAGTCTACTGTCTAATCAATATAGTAATCTATTTATAGTTTATAGACTACTCTATTGCCTAGTCCATATGCTGGCAATAGACTGTCTAGTCTATGGAAAAATTTATTGACTAGTCTTATTTATTGACTAATTTATGGACTCAGGCAGAGAGTAAAAATGATCTCTTACTAGAGTACTCTGAAAGAAAACATTTATCGAAACTTCTAAACAAAGAGAGATTTAATTTCTCTAGAGAGAAATTATTAGAAATATGGAGAATTGTATATCATTCATTCATTTTAATTTATAAAAAAATCTCTACCAAATGAAAATTTATTCAGAATTCCCTAAAGAAAATACAGTAATTGTTAAAAGTTTATCATAAAAGGAAAAATTTTTAAAAATTCTCTACTAAATGAGATTTTATGGACAATTCCCTATAAAATATTTGATAACCACAGAAAAAAATATTATATTTTCACTAAAACTGATTAATTTATTTTGCAGTTAAAACGCTTAATACTAATCACAATATTGTGTGCCGCCACAAATGCACAAGATTATCAAGACTATCAGGAAAATACACCCCGACCTGCACCCATAAGACTGCGTCCCAGTTCCGGACAAGTAGATGCGCCAAGACCGACACCAGTGCCAATATTAAAACAAATTAATAAGTAAGTCAATAACTTAATAATAGCTTAATAACAATTAATTAAATAATAAATAAAATATTTTTCTATATATTTTTAAAGACACAACGAAGATGGTTCCTATACTTATGGTTATGAAGGTGCTGATGGTTCATTTAAAATTGAAACGAAATTGGCCACCGGTGAAGTAAAAGGAAAATATGGTTATGTCGATGAGACCGGCAAAGTGCGAGTGGTAGAGTACGGTGCGAATAAATATGGTTTTCAACCATCTGGCGAGGGTATTACGGTAGCACCACCCACTTTGGTAGATGAAACGAAACGGGAACCAGAACCTGATTATGAAGATGAAGTAGCGGTGAGACCACAGAGACCACATGTAAGTTTATATATTTGTTGTTATTTTTTGAAGACATAAAATGAGTAATTTTTTTTTTAAATTTTAGCGCGTTAATCGTCCTCAGCCTCAATATAGGCCAGCACCACCACCACCACCCCCAAGACCCCAACCTCAGCCACAACCACAATATGTACAATATGAAGATGAAGAACAAGAACCAGAGCCACCACGTAGACAACAATATGTACCACAGACAGCACCACCTAGGCCACAACCTCAATTGGGTCCAGCACCGCCTAGACTACAGATACCTGGTGCTCAGCGTACTACTGATGTTGTTTACTCACCCGTGCAAAAACCCTCTCGTCCCGATTACTCACAACAACATTCATCTGAATACTCACAATCAACCTCGTTTGGAGATGGTCAATCTAATTTGCGCATATCAAGACCCGTTTACGCTCCTGCACCCGTAACACCTGCTCCCTCTAGTGCTCGTGCTCAAGGCTTTTTGGGTCCAGCATCTGGTGGACGTCCTCACTTAGAGCCTTTCCAATTTGGACCCTCTCAACAAGCTGCACCAGCACCCCGTCCCGTACCCCAATCAATACCCGTCCAACAGCCCCGTTATCAACAGCCTCAGTTACAGAGTCGCAGTAGTGGTGGCGGTGGTAGCAGTTTATTAGATCAATTGGCTCGTGATTATGCCTTACCTGAGGGTACTTCGCAACCTTTACATGATATTTCTTTCGGTTATTACTAGAATTGGATTGAGTGGGTGGATTCATACTATAAATGTAGCTTGAGAGTGTAGCCGAAGATGAAAGTCATGTAACGAATTTATGTTGTATTTACAGTTATAGAGTTTTTTTTTATAAGTTCGTTATTGAGATAAAGAAATTTCAGTTTAATTTGTTTGTTTTCCCCTGTGAGATTTAATGTCTTCTTAAAAATTGATTGATTGTATTTCAATAAAATTTAAATGTTAATTTGCCATTTCTTTTGGTAAGAATTATAGAGTAAATTTGGTTTGTTTTATTTTTTAATTTTAAGGGAAATGCATTGATTTTTGTTCAATGATCTATCTAGCGATCATTATTAGATAATGCTTATATCCATTAGGAAAAACTGCAGTGAAAGCTTTTTACGGAAATTAATTTTGTATATAAATTGGCAAAACTTAAGAAATTTCATACTTACAAATATTTTTATTGAATATTTTCATGACAATTATCAATTTACCGATCTTGAACGATCACTCTTAACTGTCAAACCCAAAACTATTGCATACTTTTAAGCATTGCACAGAAATAAAACTAAAATTTTTAACGTGTAAAAAAAATCTGCTTTTAATACATTTTATTTATCACTAAAAAATACTAATCAATAATACACATACATACAAAGAATCATTATAAAAATAAAACAAAAAATACAAATGACTTTACAATAATTTTCAGGAAAATAAAAGTAAAAACAAAATATTAAAATAAATACTTAAAGACAATGGACTTGAAAATGTATGAAACAGTTAGAGAAAAATACAAAAAATATAATGAATAAAAAACACCAGCTTAGAAAATTACAGTAAAAAAAATTTGGAACGTTTTCGTAAAGTTATTAAATTTAGAAAGATCGTTGCATACTTGTAGGCTTCAAATTAAAATGAAAATGATGTTTAAAACCAGCATCGTATCCACAAACCACAATATGCCAGATTAATCGTAATGTTATCGAATATCTGCACTCAATTTTGAAATTCCTAATAGGAAATTTATAGAGTAGAGTAGTGGGTTAAATTATAGTTAATAAAAGATTTCTTCATTATAGTTATAGTTGAGAAAAATGGTATTTAATTGTTTTATTGGTAATAGTAACCTGTAAGAGAAAAAAAAAATTGAAATGAATTGAAAATTCTTTATGAAAAATGGATTTATATTTATTTAATAATTTTTAAATATTTTTACAAACTAAGAAAGTAAAACATGTAATACTTACTGCATACGTTTTAAAAAGAGAGTTTTATTTCTACTAACTACTTAAATGAATTGTTTTGTTGATTTAACGCAACATAATTGGTTTAACAAAATATTTAATAATTAAGTAAGTATCTTAGTTTGAAATTCAGAAATTGATTTGAAATGTAAATAATTAAGAATTTATAGTCGGGTATGACCGACCCTATGATATCCTACAGCAGCTATAATAATAATATGTGATATATGTTCAATATTACCTTTAAATCATTTTCTGAAAAAGGCTTTATATGGAGGGTTCGTAGCAAATATGGACCTATATAAGATTTGATGGATGCCTTTAAGTTTACAAAAAATGTATTTGTTGAATTTCATTACGAAATTTGATTTTTTAATTTCATCGCGACATTTGACTTTTTAAGGAAATTGTGGATATTTAAGTGATTTTCGGAAGGAATCTTTGTTTGTATGGAGCTTAGAGTCAATTGATAACAGATTATTACAGGAAAATTCGACAGGGTCATCAAGACAAGTGCAAAACTTAATTTTGCGGCATTTTATCGAGACACTAGTATTTTTAACATAATTTTGAACACAAAAGCCTTATTGGGGGCGTTCAGTTGTGTGGGGCCTAGTTGAAATTATGAACAAATTTTAACTATTTTCAATAGGCATGGTCTTAAGGGTCGATTGCGAAGATTATATAGACAAAAATAATAAAAAATCACGCAGTCATGTCTGAAAGTGTGCTTCCATGATTGGATCTTGAGAAAGCTATCTATAAGGATTCAGAATATACATTGGATTGTTCCGATGATCTTCTGACTTTTAAAGAATTGATAAGTACTAATGTATGGAACTTTCTGCAAATATTTTTTTGAAAGTGTCCTACCAGTACGATAAAAATAATTTAATAATTTTTTTTGCTCCTCAAATGATTTCAAACTGTTTTTATACACAAATTTATGTATTTTTTTCATCTGTAATTATTTCTTCAAAAATTTGAACTTTGAAAGATTATAACATCCAGATGGAATCACACTTGGTTTTGAATTTTTGCTGGTTTACAACCTTAAAGGTCAAATAAAGAAGATTAAAAATATGTATGGGTCATTTCGTGTCAAGTGACCCAACTTTAAAAATCAATGTCTTCCAATTGTGATGAAATTTGCACCAAAGTACTATTGTACTACTGGATATCAGTTAAGAACTGCCGGACTTAGAAGGGGTCAAAGATGGACATTTTAGTCATACAGGGTTTTATTCAAATGAGTGTAACTTTTCACCTATTGGTTCTAGCAAAAATTGTCCAAAGGAGTTCAGACAGCTATTTCTTCATTGTTAAAAAAAAAAATATTTTTTTTACATTTTTTTAAAACGTTTTTTTTTTTAATAACTTTTAAATTTTTTTTAAATAATTTTAAAATTAAAAATTTTTTTTTTTCAAAAAACTCCTCAAAAGAAAGATCGAAAAAAATCTTATTTTTAAGTTAAAAAATATTTTTTTGATAGATATCCCACTCGCATCCCATTATGGGACTATAAAGCCCGTAAAGGAAATTGTATAAGATTTCTTTTGAGCAAAAAAGGGAGTTACAAAAATTTTTTTTGGAAACATTGAAGAAATAGTTATCTGAACTCTTTTGAAAATTTTTGCTAGAACCAATAGGTGAAAAGTTACACGCATTTGAATAAAATCCGGTATGATCAAAATATCCCACTTTGACACCCTCTAAGTCCGGCAGTTCTGGACCTATAGCGCTGAAAATTTGTGTCTGGCCTACTAACCAATAGTACTAACCTTGATGTAAATTTCGTCAAAATCGATTTTTTGAGTTGAGTCACTTGATGTGGAGTGGTGTAGTTGAAACAAGGGTTCATTTTCAATTGTATTATAATTTCTTTTAAGGACGGATTTCATTGCAGAGTATTTAAAATTTTGTTTTTATTCGATTAGAAAGAATTAAACCCCGCTGACCAACTTTTGGGGCCTCGACAATGTTGCTTACAATAGGAGGTTTTCTAAAACAGTTAACGAATCGGTATCGCAAAATATCCATACCTATTTTTAAGGTACAACACATACATTCATCCGTTAGTTATCGATTTAATTTCGAAATAATATTGCAATTTTGTAGCCTACTTAAGGGCGGCAGTTATATGTTTGATCCAAGCTAACATTGCCAGATCTTATAGTTGGTAAATTTAGGTTTTAAAAATTAGCTAAATGTACGATTTTAAAAATATTCAATTACTTCTGAAGGTCGGCTACAGATGTGACAACATTTTTTCCCGATTTTGGGTTTAACCATTACTTTTTCATCCAAAAATAATTGTCAGTTACGAAAGTAAACATTAGTGCAAAAAAAAAAAATATTATAATTAAAATCCTAAAATATTCTTATTACCAAAAATACATATAAATATATTTTAAAATTTAATAAATAAATAAGAAAAACAAAATAAATATTTTAATACTACTAAACAATGACAATGAATAAATAATATTTGTAAATTATGTAAAATATAAAAATGCATAGGAATACTCTAAATGACTTAGACTAGAGACTAAATTTTAATTTAAACAATTTTCAAAATTCCAATAAATAAATATAGTTTTGCAAGTGTTCGTTTTTCAAATCGTTTAAAAATCACTCAACATAGGATTATACAACATAGTATCTTGATTTTCAAAATCAGGAGCTGAAAACATTGGCATTTTATGCCGGGGACGTACTGGTGCCATATCCACAGCACTACGTTTTACTTTATAGGGACCATTATAGACTGGTCTTGTATTGTATTGCTGAGTATGATATTCATATTTAGCGGGAGTGGGTTGATAGTAGATGTATTTCGTTTTTTGTACAGCCGGTGGTAAAAACTTTGCTGGCCCATGTTGAGCTGGAATTTTATGCACATTCTTTTCCACTGCATAAGAAACTTGAGTTTTGGCGGGTTGTTGCTTTTGGGCCACCTCTAGGGCAGCTATTATGGGAGATAAATCTTGTAGAGAATCTTTATTGGAACCTCCCGTAGAAGCATGATAGTTGTCATATTTATAGGTATTTGGGTTTTCTGGCTTATAAGCTGGTTTATAGTCATAACCCTCATTGGGATGTTTCTCTATGTAAACCTCTTCGGGAGTTTGTTTCTGTTTACGCATTTGATGGTACAAATCATAGGGATTTTTGGTTCCATAGGCAGCCGTAATTTGTTCGGTATGCGAGAGAGATTCTAAAGGACCCAAATCATTGGGTAAACCATATGAATTTAAATCTACACCTTCGCCAGTTCCAGTGCCATAACCCGTGCTATAACCACCCGAATTTGAGGTATCTAGAGTAACAGTTTTGGAGGCTGTATATTCGGTTTTACCATTGGGCAACATATTTAGAATTTCCTGCAATTGTACGGCTGCCTTGCGTGCTTCTTCATCGGTTAATTTATGATGACGTCCATAAATATTAAACTCCTGGCCTGTAGAAGCTGTGGCGTGTAAATTATTGTTGTTGTTGTTTCATATTAGAGGTGCAAGAAGGAAATTTGTTGTAGTTTAAAGTGTTTAAGTGTTTTTGTTGTAGAGTAGTAGTTGATGTTGTTGGTGGCAACATAGAAAAAGTTTGAAAAAAGATAAAAATCTCATACGATATCATTTTAGAAATTGATTTCAATATTTTTAACATTAAGTATTTAGACTTTGGGATTAACACTGTTAGCTTGTCATTAGGATGTGAGGCGGTTATGTACATGATGTATTATGTATGTATTTATGTATATGTATGTTAGTGTAAGCTTGTATATTTGTGTGTATGTATGTTTGTTATTTACTTACATTATGAATTTGCCTTCTATTTTACAGGAATTGTTAAAATTTTTTTTAGTTTTATAAACTTTTTAAAACATTTTGATAATATTTACAGCTAACAGACTTATTAACTAAAATTTTAACACATACATACATACATATGTAGATATGTACTTAGTTATAAAGTTTCTCCTTATAATAGCTTATCTTTATCCTGTAACTGTTGTTTATACAAATAATGCTAATTGTCTTGTTAAAATATGTTTCCCGGTATAACTTCATAAAATAACTTAAAGATACGGAGGTTTAATCTTTAAAGTTTGCTATCATTTTCATTATTCAGTTAGTTTTAGGAAATATCTTAAACTTATTCTAAAAGGAGTTTTCAATTATTTGCAATTTTAAGAATTGTAATGAAAAATTAGTTTCATTGCAGAGTTTGAAGTAATTGTCTATTAGGATGGCCCTTAAATTGGCTGATATTCCTATTGAAAATTAAATTTTTGTTCAAGCAACCGTTTTTCAAAATTTGAGTGTTGACGTAAATATTTGACATTAGATCAAATAAGATGTATGTAGATACATTACATATTAACAAAATAAAGTTTTTGGTTTTTAAATTTTTGCCTGAAAGCTAGTCCAAAGAAGTCAATGCATACCAATGAACATTTTTGCTTTTGTTTTATTTCATATTTACTTTAAATGAAGAATTTATCGCGAAATTTTTAGAATTTTTCACGAATCTTCTAAAAAAGAGAATTAAGTATAAAGTTTCTTTAAATACACATTTTTTTTGAGAAATTTCTCAATTATTTATAAAAATTTATAAAAAAAAAATGTTTTTTTTTTTAAATGTAAAATGAACTTTCTATAAATATCATGAATTTTCTTTAAATAGAGAATATATTTAAATAATGAATTTAATAATAAACTATATGAACATTTTCTATAAATACGTACAAAATTTATTGTGAAATTTCTGTAAAAATAGAATGTATTATTTTTTGGAATTTAAAGCAAATTTTTTCACGAACATTCTTGGAATAGCGAATTTATCTCGATTTTTTATTTTATGTTAACTTTAAATGAAGAATTATTTGCGAATTAATAGCAAATTTTCTATAAAGTTTAAGTGGCCACTCTCTAGATTACTTGTAAAGTGACCACTGTCTCCCTTCTCGCTTACAAAGGAGACAATAAAGTGACGAATGACCAGGTGGTTAGACGTTAGTGGATATCACTGTCTTTTTCGGATGCATTGACTTTTTGTCGAACTGCTGGGTTAGACTTATTGAGATATCGTTTTAAAATATAGTTCAGTTTTAAATTCTTTCACGTGAGTTGAAATAAATTTTTGTATGGATCGATTTTTTAAATATTTCTGGAATTTATTTTTTATTCATTTATTTTTTTTTTTGGAATTTAAAGCAAATTTTCTCACGAACATTCTTCTAATAGCGGATTTATCTGGATTTTTTATTTTATGTTAACTTTAAATGAAGAATTATTCGCGAATTAATAGCAAATTTTCTATAATTTTCTCTAGATTACTTGTAAAATGACCACTGTCTCCCTTCTCGCTTACAAAGGCACAGACAAAGTGTCCACTCTCTGGCTTACAAAGGGGACACTAAAGTGACGATTATCTTCACTCTCGTTTACAAAGAGTACATCCGTGACGAACGTCTAACCAGGTGGTTAGACGTTAGTGGATATCACTGTCTTTTTTGGATGCATTGACTCTTTGTCGAACTGCTGGGTTAGACTTGTTGAAAAATCGTTTTAAAATATAGTTCAGTTTTAAATTCTTTTACGTGAGTTCAAATAAATTTTTATACGGATCGATTTTTTAAAATATTTTTGGAATTTATTTTTATTTTTGGAATTTAAAGCAAATTTTCTCACGAACATTCTTCGAATAGCGAATTTATTTCGATTTTTTATTTTATGTTAACTTTAAATGAAGAATTATTCGCGATTTTTTTGCAAATTTTCTAGAAAGTTTAAGTGTCCACTCTCTAGATTACTTATAAAGTGACCACTGTCTCCCTTTTCGCTTACAAAGGAGACAATAAAGTGACGAATGACAAATTAGAGCCAAACAGTTTGTGTCATTTTCGGATGATTGAAAGTGATACAAACTTGTATGTATTCTGAATACAAAGTGACAGACAAAAAGCTTAAGTTTATTTTTTAAGTGTCCACCCTCTGGCTAACAAAGGGGACACTAAAGTGACTATTATTTTCACCCTCGTTTACAAAGAGTACATCCGTGACGAAAGGCGAATAAGAGCCAACTAAGTAGGTGGTTAGACGTTAGAGGAAATCACTGTCTTTTTCAGATACATGGGCTCCGAACTGCTGGGTTAGACTTGAAATTGAGAAATCGTTTTAAAAAATAGTTCAGTTTTAAATTCTGTTAAAATATTAATGTTATGCTAACTGATATATAAGCCTTCACATGAGTTCAAATAAATTTTTATATGAATTAATTTTGAGATAAATCTTAGAGAAATAAATCTTCACGCTTTTAGAAAATTTATTATTGTTGAGGAAAATTTCAGAAGTTGACTATCTATGTGAAAAGCATTCAACAAAATCACAACTTATTTTTTAGAATTCTAGAGTAGTTTTCAGTTTTTTATATTTCTTGATTATTCAATATGTGGGATACATAATAGGACAGATAACAATAAATTTATGTAAGTAGATTCATTTTCGTTTTTTAGCAAGAGAATTCTCAGACAATTTGAATATTTTAAAGAAAATTGGACCCCTTGTGTTCCGAATCATTTTTGATACAATCAAATGGAAGGTATCACAGAATACTTTCAAAGAAACATATTATGTTACCATCCAGAACTATAAATATTAGAGTGCAAAATATATACTTGTTTAGCTACTATCATATTTATGATTACATTAGTGATTTAAATTATTGCTTAAACATATTATGGTTACAGCAATTAAACAGTTTACTACAGTAATCATAATATTCTTGAAAACGGTGTAGTGATTTTATAAAACTTTTTTATATTTCTTCTTACACATATTGTTATACAAAACTTCTTCTTCTTTTCATATCTGTAAGCTTTACAATACATATGTAAATATTTACTTCAAAATTATCTTTAAATTCTTATTTATTACTAAACTTATTTTCATCATGAATAACATATTTTTTCCTCAGTATAGCTCCTACAAATACTTAATATTTACAGTTATAAAATATATATGTTTAGGTAAATATCTTACCAAATTATATTTATAATTTCAATATATTTACACCTTATTTTGTTAACAGTAACTAACTTTAAATACTATGCCAACAAAATATTTACATATAAAAAGCATATTTGAATGTTTGCAAATTGTTTTGCAGGAAATACTTTAAAAATATATACCAAAAACATAACTAAATACTTCAGAAATAAATTGCATAATATTTAACAAAAAAATAAATTATATAAGAAAACAAAATATAGCCGAAATTCAATAACAAACATTTAAACACCAGTAGACCAAATAAAACTTACCAAATCGGGCTAATAAAATCTATAAATATTACGAAAAACAAAATAATAATAATAAAAACAAAATCAAACGAAACGTTTAAACCGCATTTTTAAATCAAATACTTTGTAAGTAAATAGCTATTGTCTGTCCATTTATCGGTTGCGATCACGTCTGACACAATACACGCAATCACCAAGCAAGTTTACACTCATACATACTAAACAACCATATAATATATAAGTGAACTAGCTTTATACCCTATAGTTCGGGGTGGCTGGCCCAAATTTTAATTAAATATAATTTACCGTTATTTTAACATGTAGATGACCTAAAAGGAAGTCAGTTGACCCTATTTTGCCTGGATTAGAAATTACTTTCTAGAGTAAAGTTTAGGTAAGATAGGTTTTAATGTTATTCTTTCCACATTACTTAGGACACTAAAGCAACTACCGTCTAGATTACTTGGGCATAAAAACGTGACAATACGTATCTAGTGATCTAAAAATGTACATACCACAAGATTCAATTAATTCACTGCTTTTAAAACTGCTGGGTATTTACATTAAATACGTCACTACGACTCAGAGTAAGTAAGTAAATAAATGAATGACTGACTAACAATGAATAAAAACGGTAAACAATTCAAGCAGAAGGCAAAATATGCTTTCACTTTCATACATCAAATGTATTAACATCGGTGGGTCTGTGCTGTCTGTATTGGGCCGACACAACTCATGCAAAATATCCATCTATTCAATCGGAAGTTTAATGTGTACTTTAGCAATTACCGGTAGATTAGTTATAGCGGTAAAAACACAACAAACAAGTAAAGAAGAAAAAAAAACTGCTTTAACTTGAATCCAAACAAAATATAGATACAGATTCCCCAAAGAGTTGAGACTTAAGATTTATATAAAGTTTTTACCGCAGATATCATAATTTACCCCCATAAGTTACATGTCCTTAAAATATTTATAGAATTTATTTTATTCTAATTAAACATTTCAAGGAATTTTTTGGTTTTAACAAAATTATGTTATTCTTAGAAATTCCAAAAGAATTTTAAATTGTTTATTTTTAGTTTAAAACGTAATTATCACAAGTTTTAGTTACATATTCTTAATTGTGTGTCATATTTTAAAGGAGTGAACTCATTAAAATTCATTTAGTTTTGATATAATAAGTATATTTCGAAAAAGTATAATTAAGTAACTTCAAAAGTAATCTGTGCATGTTTAGCATGAAATTTGAATCTTTTTATGAAGAGGACTTATCACGTTATAAAGATGACGACTTATGCTATTGGAGTGGACACATTTCAGACATTTTGTTACAATATTATAACTGTAGGCCACCCATTCTCTTATTTTCACATTTATATTGGATACAGTTCTAATTTGTTGTTATTATTTTAAATCCGGTTCAGTTTGTAAATCTTGGACTTTCGTTGAGAACTAATTCAAACTTTTATTAGATCCAATAATGATACATATTTTGCCAAAATCATTAAAGAGGCTTGTGACGTGATATCTTAACATTCAAAGTTTTTACGAGCCCAGCTATTTAATCAAATTTACAGCGTGTTGGAAGGCAATTTGGGAATTATCAGGTTAAATCTAAGATCTTATTGTATTAGAAGAGAGTCTTAACTGAATATTCTTCAAGAGAAGCAAGCATTATATTAAATGGGTATCACAACACTGGAAAAACATTGCCGAAGAAAGATCGAAGTAGTTGCTGGGGTTATGAAGACAAATCCAAATCATATAGAGTGACCCTAAGGGGGGTAAACGAGAAACCTTCTCAGAATGAGCAAGTTCGACAACTATTCAAAATTGGACTAGCAGATTCAGAAAATTATTCCATATATAACATATCTTGGGAATATCGGATTAAATACCTTCTTAGTGTTCTATATAAGTTGTATTCCCAGCAACATTATCTTCTTTGGATCTGTTCTAGTATACATTCTCCTTTCAACCAAATCAAAAGTTTAAGAGTCATGAGACTCCCAATAACTTTACATACTAAAGAAGGTAAAGTATTTTTTTTAATTTTTACTATATCATTTATCCAGACTTCTTTATGGCCTGTGAACCAATATTTTTTTTGATTTTTTGTTTTGTTTGCGGAGCTCATAAGCAAAATGCCACTGCATCCCACGTTAGTTTAAAGGAAATCCTCCAAGTCGATCTATATCTTCATATAGGAAGCTGGAAACCTTTAAACACTTTGAATTTTTAATGGTACTCCCCCAGTAAAGTTGAAGAGTTTCAATGGTCTCCACCAGGGTATAAATAGTTAAGGTTTAATGGTCTCCACCAGTGTATAAACGTTTGAGAATTCTATGTTCTCCCCCAATAAAACATACCTCACTAGAGGCGATACGTAAGCACGAGGTTAATGTAGGCAATATATAACTTTGAACAGTTATATATAGTAATACACTATACCAGTGCGAGAGAGAGAGATAGAAAGCCAGGCAACAAACACAAGCCTGAACGCGTTTAAAAAATAATCGCGATGACGTGAGAGTTGTTCCCCAATTCAGACGTGAATTACGACTGTGAACCAATATTAGAACTACAAGTTGTTTTTCATGTTGGGATTGGTTATGAGTGCAATACAGAGGCTATTCTTAAGAGTTTTAATATGCTGTTATTGAGACTCTTAAGATTTTATTCTTAACAATTATCGCGGACATTTCTGAGAAAAAGAAAAATATATCTGATCTATCAGATGCGTGAAGCAGTGATCGATTCCTTTTTTTTGGATATCAGCTTTATAACCGGGTTGTAGTTTCTGGATAAAAGAAATTTTTGAAGGATGATGAATACGGCCGAGTATTCGAGTCTTAGAACTGAGAAGATATGTTAAACCATGTCTCCAGATTAACATGAGGATCAAAAATGTGACTATTAACTCTAGTTTATATATGAAACTAAATCACAGTTAACATTCATAGATTTTACTTGAATGAAAATAAACACTATTTTTAAAGAAACAGCAAATTAAACGATATTTCCTAAAGTTTTGATCCGATTCCTACAATTAACGTAATATGGATAAACAATATTTTTGCATGTGATTTTACTATGTTACCTATTTTTTTAATTTTTCGTAAAATTGGGAATGGAAAATTAATCTAATTATTTACATTTTCATTAATCTTTTAATGTTTTAACAAAAATTATTTTAAAATAATGCATTCATTTAAGGCACTGTTAACTTGCTTTAAAGTATCTATAATAAGGACAAATAAGTTTTGCTGTATGAATATGACAGTTAAAGTTGATGAGACATTTTTTACAAACGCAATGATTTTGATAGATGATAATGATGTTTATAACTATAGTGATAATGATGATAAGATATTGGCGTAAAATTGTATTGTACAAGTTTTTAAGGTGGGGGTGGTGGGATTTCAATGAATGAATAAATAATTTTATGAATGGTTGATTGATAATAAGGAAGATAAACGACAAAAGAAACTATTTACATTTTATAAAAATATTTACACAAAGTGAAATGAAAATATTTAAACGACATAATTATATACAACAAATATTTACAATATTTACAACATAAATAATATTTACAAATGTAAACGGAAAAAACTTGATTTACAATTTGCTAAAATAAAAATGAACTTGCAACGAATAAATAGAAAAATGAAAATATGAATATGATTTTTAAACGCTTGACTAGTTGAAAATGATCAGTCGCCTCTGTTGGAAGGGGCGTCATTATAGTTTCTCAAGTACTCTTCGTACTCGAGTATAAATAAATGAATATTTAAATGACTTAATAATGAATGATCATTAGATATAGAGGCCACACCACAAAGAATGAGAAACAATAAACCCTTTTATGCTTCAGTTCATTTAACATAACGACACCAAACATTTTTTGTTTTCTTTAGATAATAAACATTATTTTTTTTTATACGCACCATCTGGTCCATAGGCTGTTGGTAAATAATTGCTAGATGGCGCTTCGAATGCTACATGTCCACCACCGTAACCGGCACCACCACCAGTATAACCACCTGAACCGGATGGTGGTAAATACTGATGTGTGGCACTGCTAAATGTTGGTGGCTTTGATGGTGGACCATAGCTAGAGTGACCACTTGGTATTTCGTATGATGTTATGCCTGTAATAATAGAGACACACAATACAATTAACAACAATTTCAAATTTTATTTAAGCTTTATTGTCGTCGTCGTCATCGTTGTCGTCATCATCTTGATCATGTTGCAATACACGAGTATGTATAACCAAAGTATATTTTTAAAATTATGCAGTTTTTTTTTTTGTTTTTTTCTTTATATACACTTAGAAAAATAGTTGTTATTAAATACTTATTAAGAATACAGGTTTATACGTATTTTTTTACAGTTAAGAGTTTTTAAATCGGGGTGTTAGTTTATATACAAGAAATTTGGGTTCAAATTATATTCAAAATTTATCATAAATGGTTAAAAATATGCACAAATATTAAACAAGTTTTTAAGCAATTTTATACAAAAAAAAAAAAAACTTTTAGTAAAACATATGTAAATTTTTAAAAAATTGTTTTCAAAATTGCGGACTATTATCAGTTAACGGCTCGAGAAGGTCGTAAGATGGGTGTGTTATATGGACTAATGTCATAACATCCATGAACGCTAAGACAAATCAAAGAGTGTCATAATATCCATGGCTTCGAGATTAATAGCAATAATAGCAGGACACTGGATGCTAGGCAGACATTCTAGTTGGCTTGGGCTAACCTTCAATGAACACTGTTGCTGTTGCAAAGACAGGGAAAAGGAAGAAACGGTCTTCCATTTTCTCTGCGAATGCCCCGCTCTATCCGTGAAAATTACCCGTTTTAAACTGGGTGCTAGGCAGACATGCAAGTAGACTTGGGCTACCCTTCAATGAACACTGTTGCTGTTGCAAAGACAGAGAAAAGGAAGAAACGGTCTTCCATCTTCTCTGCGAATGCCTTGCTCTATCTGTGAAAATAAACCGTTTTCTTGGCAGTTACTTCATATCTAACCTTGTTGAGATATCTGGATCTAAGCTTAATGATATCCTAAGATTTCTCAATGCTACAGGCTGGATCTAAAACTATAAAATACAAAATCTGACGAGTGAAGTGGTCCAGTCAAAACGGAGTCTCTTCGACTATACTTGACTGTTCGCGCGCAGTGAACTACCACGTTAACCAACCAACCATCCATGACTTCAAAATAGTCCTTATATTACGAAAAAGTTTAAATTCGCTAAGCCAGTTTTCAAAATATCCTAACCCTTGCAACAGACCTAAGACCGATTATATAAAACCCTTTTAAGGGAATTCAAATCCGGTACAGACTGACTATTTTTGAAAACACCATGACAATTTTGGTGTGTGTTATAATATTAAGACATGTCGCCAATTGAGATACACGTTTTTATTTAGACAGATCAATTAAACATTATGCAGACCTTTTCTTATCACATCACCTTCACCATCCTATTTCTATTAAAATACATTTATATACGATTTATGGACTGAAAGACGAACTTCTTCAAAGCCTTATGAGGTGATTCGGTTACAGTGCAATGTTGAAAGTGAATTTAGCCAAATTTCGGCCCATTTATTATAGTTGTGTATAAGGAGTTTGAATAGTCCCATTGTTGGGGCCGGCCAGTTCTAACTTTTAGAATAATAAAGGCTTTGTTGAACTTAAAGATCTATATATGTACATATGTATGGGGAATTTTGTGTCAAGTGACCCAACTTTCAAAATCGATGTCTTCCGATTTGGATGAAATTTGCAACAATGTTAGTACTATTGGATAGTAGGCCAGATACGTCAAAAACTTCCGGAGTTGGACATTTTGGTCATACAGGGTTTTATTCAAATGAGTGTAACTTTTCACCTATTGGTCCTAACAAAAATTGTACAAAGGAGTTCAGACAGCTATTTCTTCATTGTTTCCAAAAACCCTCTAATTCCGGCAGTTCCTGACTGATAGAGCTGAAAATTTGTGTCTGGCTTACTATCCAATAGTACTAACTAACATTTCATCAATTGGGTCACTCGACATGAAATTGCCCATATGTTTGTCTGAATAAGGGATTTAATAAAATGACCTGCTTACAAGTGGATACTTCCCACGTATAGACGGTAAGTACTTAATTAAAACGCAATGCTTACCCGCTGGCTTACAAAAGACATGAATTTTAAATGAAGAGATCGCATTTGAAAAACTAATTTCTCTTTTTAATCGTTTTAAGCCTAAAAATTATTTCAGTGTATTTTCAATTGTCATTGGTGTCGACCCAAAGCATAACTTACAATAAATTTTTATTTTCTATGGAAAATTTTATGTATTGGCTTAACAATTGGACAACGAATACATTAAGTATGTATAAATGTCCCGGCATATTGCAAATAAGGAAATCCTTATATTTATAAGCTGCAATTAACATGATAAAATAAATGGTAGACAAATGATAATGTGTGATTTTTAGCAGTAATTTAAAATGTATTTTTAAAATCGAAAAAAATGGAAATTGAAAATTTTCACAGAGAAAAAAGCAGCAATTACATAATGCTTGAATTTTAAAAATGTTCAATTAAATCTTAATAACAGAAAATTTATAAGGAAATTTAAAAAAAAGAAAATTTCTTTCATTCACAATTAAAAATCATTTTACACACATTTGTCAATTTAGAATTGCTAAAGAAAGGAAAAAAGATAAATTAAAATTTTAAAATGGAGTTTTGATTTGGAAAAGATTTTTCGACAATGCCACATGCTATGTAAAATGTTTGGCTCAAAAATCCATGTATGTTTTTTTAAATGAAATTTCTATTATTGACCTCAGAGAGAAATGAAATTGAAAAAAATACTTGCATTGAATTTCTAACATAAAATACTGAAACATTTCAAGGAAACTTATTGGAAACTTGAAATCAAAACAACAATATTGTTAATATTTATGTAAATTTTCTTTTAAATCAAATATTACTCAACCACATACCGATAAAAGTAAGCATACATATATACAGCCATATACATACATATAGTATATTCAAACAACTAAGTATGTATGTTAGGGTGGCCCCAAATTGTAAGTTGCTGATGATCCCGGCAAAATTTAAAATTGAGTTCATTTTAAGTTACCATTTCTTAAACATTTTGAATATTTGCTGAACTGGATCAAATGTTGAAAAAGTCCTTTTTTGAGGTTAATATTATATGATTTCCATATTTCATGCAAAAAAATAATCATAAATTAACATTTTGTAATGCCTTATGAAAAGCTAGCATACCCTGGGTGCTTCGCTACCCTAATTTAAATTAAATGCATACAAAATTTTGTTTTCTTTTATAGAAAATTAAAATTGATTAAACATTTTTTTAATGTTTCAGTTTTATACGTTCAATATCACGTGATTAAATTCGCATTCAGTAAGAAGCTTGTATTTTTAGTTTCATTTATTTAGCTTCTACATTATAGAAAATTTCGAAAGTACTATTTGAAAAAAAAAGTACTATAAAATACCTCTAATAGATTATCATTTAATCAAAAATTGTATGTTTCTGTGTTCAATATTATATACAATTCAAAAAATATAATTTTAATGAATGAAAAAGTACCAAAAGTACCTTTCAGTAGATTCTTATTCACTAAGGTCCCTACATTTTAAATTTTATTTTCAATATCTATGTTCAATATCGTAAAAATATCAAAAAGTACTATCGGAAAAACGAAAAAGTACAAAAATTTCTCTCAATAAATTCTCATTTAATAAGGACCGTGTGTTCCGGTTAACCATTATAAAGAATCTAAAAGGTACCATTTGAAGAATAGAAAAGTACCAAATAGTTCCCACTTACAGAATATTATTCAGTCAAGACCATGTATATTAAAATTAATGTTCCAAGGTTGAATATTTTAGAAAATTAAAAAAGTACCATTTATGAGATAAAAAGTACTAAAAAGTTCTCTCTTAAAGAATCTTATTCAATGAGGACCGTGTATGTTTAATAATCATGTGTTTTGAGTTCATATTAAAGAACATACAAAGAGCATAATTTGAAGGAAGAAAATGTACCAAAAGTGGAATAAATTTTACCTAAGTGGAAAGTACTAATAAAAAGAATACAATTTTTCCCCTTTTCGCTTAGAAATATACTTTTTCGAGAATTAAGTTTACAAAATGTTCCGTATTTAAATCTATATATCACAGATAAAACTCAAACGATTCAAATCTGCATTCATTTGTTCCAGAAAAATAGTGTACCAAACAATTTACTCGAATTCGGTTCTATATAGGCCTTAGTACTCGAATTTTTTGTGTGTGTAAATAAACTACTTTTTAAAATTTTTATAAAAATTGGCTCGATGAGTTTGAATAAAATTAAATTTCCCGTTTTTTTCCCTTTTCGGTACTTTTTTTTCCAGTCAAATAGCAAAAATTTTATTACAATAAATATTACAGAGTTAGTCCGTAATTTAATTGGAATAATTCAATAAACCGACAAAGTTTTCTTAATGTGCTAAAAAAAGTACCATAAATACACTTTTTTTCTCTTTTACAGCCAAAAAAGACTGAATTATAAAAAAGTACGAAACAGGTATCTCATAATTTTGGAAGATGTATCCAAAATATTTATAAAAATTTTATTATGTTAATTAGTTCAAAAGTTATAAAGGGCCAAAAAGGTACCAAAATCACCTTTGTTACACATTACCCATCTGCTTATTTTAAGAGTAGATACATGTGCATTTAAAAATTTTCTAGTATCACTAATATTGTGTAAGATAATTAAGAAAACCTGTTTTACCCGTTTTTCCCCCTTTTTACCCGTAAATGTATAAATGTCCAAAAATCCCTCCTTAGTGGATCTACATAACCAAAAACACATCTACTGTCAAAATTTCATGATTCTAGGTTCAGCCGTTTGGGCTGTACGATGATGAATCAGTCAGTCAGTCACGCTACTCTTTTATATATGTATATAGATTGTAAAATTTATAATTAGTGAAAACATTAATGATACGTTTTTGGAAGCGTTATATCATTCCTTTGCTTAAAACATGATAAAATTGGAAAAGGAAAAAAAAGGACTTTTTTATCCTTTGGTGCAGCTCATTAAATATTGATCTTGGGACAATCTATGAATGAATCAAACATTCATTTTCGGTGGAAACATCAGTACCTTAATGTTTCTCCATACCAACGGGGCCACCCTAATGTATATGCATGTAAATGTGTGGCTATTTTCAATGTTAAATTTTCTATCTAAATTACGTACATCATCGTCATCATCATTGAGCTGTTGTGGAGACCACAATACCAGCAAATATAAAGAGCCAATTGTAAAAATTGCTTTAAAGTGTAGCATGCAACATACAACAACATTATATATGAATAGTAATAGTTTCTTGTAAATGCTGTCATCAATTGGAAAGTTGTATTTGAACAAAACAAAAAAAAAAAAACTATTTAATGTGGTTTTTGTGTAGGTCAATGTACATCATTTAATATGTACTTACAGTGCTATACAAAATTATAGGGCAAAGCAAAAATTTTTAAGGAAATTAACTAACGTTTACTTACTGAGGTTTAAGATCTTTAAACTAAATTGGTCATACAAACAATACAATGTTTAAAAATTAGTTAGTTAGTTAGTTTGAAAGGAGGATGTACATATATACATCAATTCCGAAGAAATATACCTAGGCCTCTATTGGGCCTATTGTGCTTTCCTTAACCAGTGCCTCACCTACCGGAGGCCACAAACCTACCGGAGGTTAGTGGCCTAGTGGTTAAAATATGGTTTAAAAATTAACAGTTTTAACATGTTGAAGAACAATATTTTACTATTAGTTTACCCCAAACTGTAATACATATATGTATATGTGTATATGTATAGCATGTAATGTAACATAATGTAATACATAGTTTACAATAGTTAAATTGAATTTGTTGTAAGTGTTTTTAAATAGTTAAAGTATGAGAAAAAAATAATAATGATATTACGTATGTATGTATGTACCTATATATTGACAATTTTTGTTAGAAATCAATCAACATTGACATGTGTTTTAGTTGTTGGGTTTTTTCTATATCTTGTCATGTTTATAAAGTTGAGGGATGTTTGTGTTGAACTTAGAAGATATAATAGATTTAACATTTTTATACCCTACATCACATGTGTTTTTGCGGTTGGATGTTAAAATATCGAATAACATATCATCACACCAAATGTTGCCATAATGTTTATGGACTTGATGACATTTTTAGAAGTATCGCAGTGTTAATGGACTTTTAATAGAGAAAAATCGAAGCAAAAATAAAGCGAAGTACTTCCAAAAGAATAACACTTCAAAACTAGCAATTAGTGATTTTTTTACCTTCTGTGGAAGTGATGTTTATTGACTTCCGAAGAATTCTATTTACATTTTTGTCAGATTTTACTTTTGGGCTTCTGTTTTAAATGAATATATTACCCTCATTAATGTTAATATTATTTAAGTCAAATTAGTTGTATTCTAATACAATTTCACTTCCGAATAACTTCCAAAAAAAGGCATAAAAATTACTTCTTGAGAATGACTTCAGAAGTAGTGAATTTGGAATCAAATAAAAAGGGCATGACAAGCCTGTGTTAAAATCATCACTTCTTCAGCTCTTTTTCAGTACTTCCATGGAGTAAATTCTACTTCTTTTTCGCTTCGTTGGAAGTTCTTTTTTTTTTTTTTTTGCTGGGATGTATCGAAACATTCGATTTCATATTCTTTTATTCTAGTTCCAATATATGGACGTAAAACTATTTTAAAATTTTGGTAATGAGGAGGTAATGTAGTTATTTCATACATTACTTTGTAATGTAATGAGTGATCGTTATCAGCAACATTTATATGATTTGTTGAATAGGATTTGTATTCAATTGACTAGAGCGTCTGATATTAGTAGTTGATGTAAGTAGTTTAAAAAAAACATTGATTTAAATTCGATTTAAAACTGTTCCAAATAGCACGATCAAATAATTCCTTAATGGCACTTTAATAAGTAAGTGGATAGACTAATAAACACAGAAAAAAGGAGAATCCTATATATCCTATATAATGGCTTAAAAAACATGAAATTCTGGTAGGATTTTTTCATCATGGGATCTATTCTTTCTATGAGGGCCACATATTGGATCTTCTGATAATCATTGGTGTAGGGAATTATTTATTCCGGTGTGATCAACTACAAATTCTTACTTATTTGAATAAATAGTATGGCATACTCATGACCTTTAAAGATTAATTAAATTTTTATCAGTTATGACATAATTCTGCAATGAATTCACATGAAATGAAAATAAACAATACCCTTAAAGGATAACATATATGTATTTAGCTCGGAAATCTTAACGTAAGATAAAAGGTAATTGTTAATTATTCTCGTTAACAAATTTTTTCTTCCATGTTGTAAATATAGCATTTAAATGGTAATTCAAGTCTGATCGTAAGATTATTCTAATAAAGACCTTCTGTAGAAGAGCATAAAAGTTCAGTAACAGATCACTAAACTTTGAATCATCATATTCAAATTTATTCACTATTAATCAAACTCTTCCTTTTCAAGACCTCAAGCAGTTAATCATGTCTATTATAGTATAATAAATGTTTGAGAGGTTCATATCTTGAAGCTGGTTTCTTAATGCATGGAATAGGCAGGGGTTCCATTTTTAACAAAAACCTTCCGTAGAAGAGGATAAAAACATTTTTTAGGCGTTCGGTGACTGAACAGATCACTGAACTTTGACAGAGTTTAATAGCATTTAAATGGTAATTTAAATCTGATCGAAAGACTATTATTAGCTTATAATACTTAGAATAGGTAGAGGTTCTAGTTCGAACAAAGACCTTCCGTAGAAGAGCATTAAAGTTCAGTAACAGATCATTGAATTTTGAATCATGATATTCAAATTTATTCGCTATGATATACATATCGATAAGTAGATTAAAATCGTCATGTTCTAGACCTCAAGCACTAAAACATGTTTGAGGGGTTCATATCTTGAGCTGATTTCATAAATTGACAGTATAGATTTCAGGGAGATTTTGGAGAGAATTTCACTCAATAATTCATCAAGCTGAACATTATGGACCTGCCATTTTATACAGAGTGGAGGCAATTAATCAGATGTTATTATGACATTGATAGATTTATTTTTTTGACATATTAGATATCAGATCTATATCATACATCTGCGTAAGATAACAGACTTTATTTGTTGTACAGTTTAACACACAATCGATCTTTTCGCACTTAGTTCGATAATGGTGTTATCAGCTACAAAGCTACAAATTGACACTGAATTTCGAAACTATCCACAACTTTAGCATTATTATAGATCTAGCTTTTTTGTGTGTTAAAACAGAAACGATCAATCAAATTGTAGAAATATTGAACTGATAGCATAAGCTTTTGAGAAGTCTTGAGAAGTACCGGCAGACCTTTATAAAGTGTTCATGTTATAGTTAAATGACGATATACTTTGGATTGTTTAATCTAAATTAGTCAAGAGCACTACGAATTTATAATGTAATCTGCAGTGGTTTAAGTATTTACAGCTATAGCATAAGGTACGTTCAGAACAATCAAATATTTGACAAAAATGAAGTGACCGTTAAAAAAATCGACATTGTAATTTCCTTTAAATAAATATTTATTAACTCAAATATAGCTCGTTTTTGAAGCTGTCACTTAGGAATGTCTTTATTACATCAAAAAAAAATGTGGTTACGTCTTTTTCGTCAAATATTTGATAGGTGTGAATGTAACTTTATTCAAACATTTGTAGGTATATAGTGAGTGACTCATTTAAATGGTTTAAGATAAAGAATAATCAATTATAAAAATATTTGAGATTTACTGGTCAAATTAAAAAGATTAAAAAAAAAAATTATGGAAAAATTAAAATTTTCCAGTTTTCTTCCATTATTTTCTTCATGACCATATGTTTTGTTTTGAATGATTATATTGTAGCACTAGTCAGATTTGCTGGCTTTAGAGTAAATTATTCACATTGAGTGATTTTGAGGTTTCTTATATTTCGATTAAAACCTGTAAATTCTATTAGTACATACTGTGACCAAAATATAGTAAAATTACTTTTCTATAGTATGCTTAAGATGAAAATCGTATTAATATGTAGACATAAATAATAAAATAATTTTATATTTAAAAAGCAAAAGCATTTTATCTAATTAGTAGTGCACAGCTGTTATAGTGAAAACTTTAAATAATTTATTTTATTTTTTTTTCTAAATTTTAACTGTGCAAGTGGTTAGTAAACCTTAAATAGTTTATTATACTCTTTAAAATTTTTAATTGTTTTGAAAATAGTGCATTTAATTAAAATAAAAAGAAAATATGTACATTAAGTGCTTTTTCTTAAAACTAAAGCTAAAATTGTAATTAAAACTAAAACATATTTCTATTTAGACAAAGAAACAGTTTTTAATTTTTAAGTAAATTAGAATTTTAAGTTTAAGGTTGATTGGTTTTTTTTTCATTTTTTTTGGTTAGAAACTCTTTTGAAAAGCAACATGCTAAGTAATTTATTTCATTAAATTATTGCAACTTATAAATATTTAATAAACAAACTAAATAACTGGCATTTCAAATATAATATTACTCGTACTTACTTTCTGTATGAACAACTGGACCAGAGGGATGTTTAACACCGCCACTACTACTGCTGCCTCCCGAAGAAGCTCCTGACAAGGAAGCAAACTTGCCAAAGGGATGACCACCGCCGCCGCCGCTGGGTATAGGTTGTAATTTACTTTGAGCTGAGTTAATAATATATTTGCCAACATCGGTAACTTTATCACCCGAGGCGGCCACTACTTGACCACTGGCACTTAAAGCATAACCACTGCCCTTAATCAATTGACCCTTAAGGGCGGTAACACCTCCCGTAATGGCCTTAACGGCTTGGAATATGGTATTAAGCACGGTTTTCTTTAAGGACCAAGGATTATACTCCACAGAATTGCCCTGCATTAACAAAAATATTTCGATATAACAATTTTTCTTTTTTGTTAAATTTATATCTTCAAACTCACATGATGACCATCTCCGCCATATGATTTATAGCCATAACCACCACCACTACTACCGCCCGAACTGCCCGACGCTATAGAAGCAGAGGCATGACCCAGACTAGATAAGAATCCTTGTTTTAAATGCAGCGCATAATCCGCACTACCACCCCCTGAACGTTTTTGTAATTGTGAATCTTTATCACTGGCCGCCAAATCACTATCCACCGTTACATCATCCAGTGAAATTGTCTTCTCCTCGGCCTCTGCTGGATATGAGCATGTCAGCAATGGCAGCGTTAGTAATAACAAATATAAATACTGGAAATTTTTAAATAAAAAAATTTTCTTGTTAAATTCTCTTTGGCAATCATTTTCATTATGCAATATGTGTTTAAAGTCTGCGCAATTAGTGTGTGTGTGTGTGTTTTTTTCTATTGCAAGCTGCTAACTGCCTGGTTTTGTGACGTATCAAACATTATGCCTCATTTCGTTGAAAGTCTTGTGTTTTTTTTTTCATTTAACAAAAACCAAACAACTTTTTGTAAAATTTTACTTTAAATGGGAATGTATGCCAATGGCAAGTATGTATGTCTTTTACATTTTATCAACTAGTTGCAAGAGTTGTTATATGTTAAGTGTTGGAAAAACCACTTGGTCCATACTAGAGGTATCACATTATTTGTACGTAAAGAAATTGTTAATATTTGTTAGTTTTTGGATATTACAACTTATGGACGTCACAATTTGTACAATGATTTTTAAAGCGGAATTTTGTAAAAAGTTTTAAAATATTTAGATTGTATTTGTTGTGTTTTATGACTCAGAATAAAAAGAAATGGGGTCTTGAACCTTAATCCAAGAACATACATACTTATGAGGAACAAACTTATATTTAAACAACTATAATTGTCCTTCCTTCCATGACTTATTTTTCTAGTTCCTATAAAATGTATTGCATCCGTTGCACACAGCACCAGAGTACTGTTCCAGAAAATGCTGGCGTGTTTATCTAATAGAACGAACCTTGACGTGCAATTAAGAAGATTCAAGAAAAGATTTATAAACTCTGCCAGAAATTGTAAAATTCTGGAATTTATCTTCATCAGAAAGGTACGAAACGGGATACGAAAAGTTTGATTTATAAAATGCTATGTACCTATGTTAAGTTTGTATTCTGGACCACCACTCAGGGAATGACCCCTACTTATGCAGTGCATTGTACTGGAACTAGGAAAATAGGTTGTGGGAGGGAGGATAAAGGGAATAGTGTTCGTGGACATTTGATTTAAACCTTTTCACATCGAAAGCGACGGGGAATACTTCTGCAGGAAGTTTGTTCAACATACGAATAGTGCGGCTAAAGAATAAATTTTCCCTGTAACGTGCTGTGCGGTCCACTGGAACATATTCCATTATAGTATCGATAAAACAGTGAAATACACCCCACGTTGTGACGGTGCTCCAGTGAATCAATGGAGTTGGATACACTACTGTCAGCGATAAGTACCTTAGCCCTCTCTTGTACGCGGCCGAGTAGCTCCAAAATAGACTTCGAAGCTCCGGCCCATATATGGGAGTTGTATTCCATTTTCGGTCGTATATAAGTGGTGTAAATAGTAAGATGATCAGATGGAGTGTAGTATGTCTTACACCGTTTCAAAAAACCGAGACACTGTTTAACTCTCTATTTGTAGGTACTTATTTAAGTGCTTACAAATAGGTAGCGTGGTAAGTACTTGTTCATGCGTAAGTAGTGAATAGTAGTTTTATTAGGTTCTTAAATCAAATGAATGTTTTACAATTCTACAAAATATTGAAAACTATATTCTGAAAACATTTGACACATATGAGATCTTATTAGTGATGTAAATTCAAGACTAATTAGGCCCTCGATATGATGGAAACTTAGTCAACTTTGATGGTTCAAAAATAGGAAACGGTCATTACTTCAGTGTACACCTTTAAGCAATGAATTACAATTATTTGTAATTGTAATTGATGTTTGTCCAATTAGAATTACTTGTAATGTGTAATTGACCAATAACCAATTACAATTACTTGCAATGTGTAATTGGCCAATAACCACTTACAATTCCTTGTAATTGTAATTGAAGTTTTGGCAATTACAATTACTTGTAATTGCAATAAAAGTTTCCAATTAAAATTACTTGTAATTGTATTTTAGGTATTACCAATTACAAAATAAGGAATAAAATTACAATTACAAGTAATTGTAACTGCAAATTTTTCAAAACTTCAGTTACAATTACAAGTAATTGTAATTGGAAACTTTTATTGCAATTACAAGTAATTGTAATTGCCAAAACTTCAATTACAATTACAAGGAATTGTAAGTGGTTATTGGCCAATTACACATTGCAAGTAATTGTAATTGGTTATTGCTGCCTCTTATGTCAAGCATGTGTTAAAATCATCACTTCTTCAGGACTCTTTCAGTATTTCCATGAAGTTAAGTCTACTTCTTTTTCGCTTCTTTGTAAGTTCTTTTTTTGCTGGATATTTCAGTATCTTTTAATAATTTTTAAGGAATAGCTCTCAAACGGAGCGTATTAGTGCCATAAATACCAGAAAAATACAAAATAATTAATACACATCGAAGTGTTCCTACATTAGATTCTTAAAAAGGCTGATCCTCAGAACACTTTACTTCCTTCTTCCTGAAGTTGTAAGTGGGTTTCTTACAATGTCAAATCAAATGAAACCCCCTAAATTTGGTATACTTCTTACAAATATTTTATAATTATTTAAAAAGTAATAAAACTTACAACACAAAAGAAAATTTAAAAGAAACTAGCACAAGTATTCAGTTTTAAATGCTTACAACAGTTTCTTAAATCCTACGCCGTGTGACAACTGTTACCAACATTAATTTTGTGGCACACACATACAAATTCATACAAATAGTTGAAATAATATTAATATGTTGCATAATTGCATGCATGCATGCATTAATGCCTGTTTCGTGGTCGGTCTAAATTGTAAATTTCATCTTGTATGTGTCATGCTTTATGAAACGCTAATTTTGGGTCTTTTTTTTAGTTATTAATTTTTTAATATTTTACAATTGTTTCCATTTTAAACTAAAAACAAGAAACTTAAATTACATGCAATTATTGGAAAGAAAAAACAAAGCATACGATCATCAATAATTGTTTAAGAATTTGTTAATTGAACTACAATTGTCTTAATAGACAAATCAAAAATAGATATAATTATAGTTTTATACATATTTCTTAAAACTATAACAATCTACAGGTAATTTAATAACTTTATTTGCATTTACTTTGTATCATATGTACATTACTGCGTTTTACTTATAACAAGTTTAAATTGCTACTTCATGCTAACTTTAATTGAATTTCACAACTTTTATGTTTTTCATTGGGGAATGGCTGGTGTGGTTTGAATTTTAACATTTATCGCAAGACAAATTGAAAATTGTACAGAGATTATTTTAAATTTATTATTTATGGTCCATTAATTTGTGTATTTGACAAGTGAAGCATTTAATTGAACATTTAGTACATTTAGCAATCGTTAACTTTGTTTTTTCGTTCATTTTTCAGTTTTGTTTTATTTTGTGTCATCATTTAATGAGTTTTATATTCAATTAAACATGTTTAATTTGGTCAATTGAAAAAATTTGAAATTCTTTTTATTATTTTTTTTCTTGGTTTGATTTGGGAGTTGGTTGTATATTGATTGAAATAAATTGAGAACTGGATGACTGTGGCATTTTTTAAAATATGATTTGAGGTTGTGCTACTAAGGAATTAAATTAAAATTAGTAAATTGTTTATTTCTTGCGGGAATTATATGATTAAGAAAATCATATAAATGAGATAGAGTTAGTTTGCAGTGTTCCATGATCAGCAAAGAATAAAAGTACGTACTAATATATTTTTCGGCTTTTTTAATGTATTTTACAGATAGCCTATTGACAAGCTTACAGACTAGAGTATTGATAAATATATAGACTAGTCTATTGACATGTTTATTGACTAATATTTTGATCAGTTTATAGATTAGACTATTGATTGGTTTATCGACTTGTCTATGGATGAATGTTTTTACATGTCTATGACTAGTCTATATGGTGTAGACTATCGCATACCCAGCAAAAAAAGAACTTCCAAAGAAGCGAAAAAGAAGTAGAATTTACTCCATGGAAGTACTGAAAAAAACCTGAAGAAGTGATGATTTTAACACAGGCTTGTCATAGGAGGGATGTCCTTTTTATTTGATTCCAAATTCACTACATTTCAAGAAGTAATTTTAATGCTCTTTTTTTTTTGGAAGTCCTTGTCGACTTGTCTATGGATTAAGGTTTTTATAAGTCTATGACTAGTCTATATGGTGTAGACTATCGCATACCCAGCAAAAAAAGAACTTCCAAAGAAGCGAAAAAGAAGTACAATTTACTTCATGGAAGTACTGAAAAAGACCTGAAGAAGTGATGATTTTAACACAGGCTTGTCATATGAGGAATGTCCTTTTTATTTGATTTCAAATTCACTACATCTGAAGACATTCTCAAGAAGTAATTGTAATGCTCTTTTTTTGGAAGTTATTCGGGAGTGAAATTGTAGTATTACAGAATACAACTAATTTGACTTAAATAATATTAACATTAATAAGGATAATAGAAACATTAAATACAAAAGCCCAAATACAACATTTTTTATCTCATAAAAATGAAAGAACAAAAAATATATCTTCAACACTGAAAAAATAGAATTATTTTCGCTTCTTAGGAAGTCTTTAAAAATCACTTCCTCAGAAGGTAAAAAAAAATCAATTAGTGCTACTTTTGAAGAGGTATTTTTGCTGGGATATGTTATAGATTACACAGTGAGACAAAATAAACGAAAAGTTAAATATCTGGGAAGTGATACTATTTTTCTGAAAGGTAAATCCCAGTAGAATACGAATCTATACTTGAAATTTGCCAAATACCTCCAAAATCTTGAGATACGGGTAAAAACGCGGTTTTTCATACCTTTAAGAACTTTTAGTCAGTAACTTAGTTGAATATCAACCGATTTTTGGTTTCTCAACAGATTTAGAAGAAGCTGAGGCCTTTATAATGACATATGGGCAATTCCATGAAAAGGTAAACCACGACTGAAAAAATAAACCCCCTATAACTTTTGCATTTTTAAAGATAATTCAATAAAAATTGGTATATGATCTTTTGTAGCACCAAAGACGAAGGCTGTTGAAAATTTTTGAAATCGGTCTATTTTTACACCTCGCCCCCATACAAACGGTCCCGCAAATATCACTTTTTAGCTCAT